ATTTACACATGGAAGAAAATTGGTTAGATCTGCTCATAGGCTGGTAATCGAGCCTAATCTGCTCACAGGTTACCCAATTTTGCCACCGGCCTCTCGACTTGTTTTATAATTATCGATTAAATCAAGTGATGCACTATCATGTGAAGTTAAATAACTGAAAGACAATATTAATCTAAGAAACAAGAATAATCCACCATTTAGTGACTGAAACGTGAATTGAAATTCTCCAAACTGATCTGCATACTTTTCCTAAGAAAATCAGTTTAGAGAATCTGATAAACGATTTAATCAACTATATTCCCTCTGGTGATCATTTTAAGAATTCTCCTAATCTCTTCTCCTGATGTTCTATGAGTATTGTTAAGAGAAAGTTGATGTTGCTCTCGCTCGGATTTAAATGGTTAATAGATTTTGATCGGTTGAAGAAATTTATGACAGTTCACTATGAAGTTAATCGTCAGTAATTCTGACATCCATTTTCCTATTTTTTTGCAGGCCCGATGGAATTTGGCTCATATTCTAACCAGCTCTATAGAGATCAGACTATCAAACGGCCACCTCAAACAAAATTGACCAGATAAGTTTTAAAAGTAGACGCCATATCATGTTAAATAAGGGCATACTGTTCCCTGAAAAAAAACCTGCATCTCATCAATCCTCTCAGAAGAATTTAAGGACCTTCAAACCCTTTCCTTTTTCGACTGCGTGACTCACTATCTGTTGTAACGTAATAATAAAACTAATTTTGAGTGTTTAAAGTCAGTCCTCGCCTCTCCTCTATGCCTCCTCGTGGCCGTCCATTTAATCAATGCAAGGCTTTTACATCTATTTTCTCATACCGGCGCAAAGACACGTGGCATGGAAGGCCTTTTCCCTGCTGAACCCTGCACTGGCAAAAATATTTTGAATGAATTATAATTATATCAGGTACACACTCCATTGTCGGATCGCCGCTACGTATTTACAATTGACATAAAAAAAAGGCCGAGAAATTGCAGTTTTTGTCGAAAATATAAAATTACACACGACGCGGGCTATCCTCAGTAAGTCTTTGCTGCTGCTGTACAGTCGTCGGTCACATAAATGGCGCACTCAAGACATTGAATGTACGCAGGCTTTTCTTTCAAAGCCGACGCTAGTTTTGTTGCAGATGAGGTTTAACCATATAAAAATGCTACAAGTTATTTCCCACGCAGTCTCTTACCTTCAATCAAGACAACCATACATCCAAGGAGCTTCTTGTGCGTTCAATTGAATTTCAAACAAATTTAAATGACAAAGAAAGCTATGAAATAAAAAAGGTGCTTTGCCACCGAAATATAGTAAACACAGAGAGCTACAGAGTAGAATGGCCAGTCGGCTATTCGATTTATCTCTTTTTTTTTATGGAGTCCGGAAGCTTACCCTCAGGGCATGCTAGCCAGAGGGCGAATACCATGCGTAAGGAAAATTGCCTTTCGCCGCAGCTTTCAGCTGCTAATCTTTTTGCCTACGGGTAAATTAGTCTCCTTTGTTGATGCGGCGCCTGAGGAATTTTTGAAATATCAACCCCAAAGTCCGTTTCCTTTATCAATTTTGAAGAAGGCCTCGCTCGGTGAGATTAAACCATCTAATCACTGTCTGGCTAGCCAAAGCATAAATACATCCTGAATGAACAACATTAAGTCTTTAAAGTAGCGCTGACTTTGTTTAAATTTTGCCGAAATTCCATATTTTGTCTATTGTGAGCTGTCAGGCAATATTGTGTCTTTTCAAGAGCCATAACCCATTATGGCTCTTGGTCTTTTCGAATAATATTAAAATTAAAATTTATTTTCTTACAGCCAGAATTCTCTCATTAAGCAGTGGAAAGAGATACGAAAAGAAGTATAAAAGTACTGGTTGAGCGCCGCAAATAAATAAAAAATAGATAATACTCGGTAAAATAAATCAATAATTAATAATTAGTAAATTGCTGATAACTCTGACTGCGGGAAACGTGGCTTAGAGTGGGTGAGGGGCTCTCTCCTCAGTCCGAAGGGGCCTGTTTGTGTTGTGGGGAGGCTGGGAAGAGGGAAACAAGAAAGAGCGCGGGGGACGATGGGAAGGGACCATCGTACCCCACGAAGGAGAGTAGGTGAGGGGCATGCGCAATTCCGAATGCTGAGAAGGCTGAAATGTACTAAGAATGCCGGTTCGGAGCATGCTCCCCGGGAAAATTTGAATTTATTGCAATTGTCTTCTTCTTCTGAAATGGATAGGAATACATCTAAAACTGTTATCCTTTAGTAATTATAGCCGAGGGAACATAATCATGATAATCTCTTGTTATAGCATTGCACTTTTAGATTGTTGCTATCGACGACGAGCTTCAGGTGTAAGTAAAAAAGCTGGGAGCGTACCTGGCATTGACAAAGATGAATTAAAACTGTTAAATCCTCTGGTCTGGTGGCTCAAAACTTAGGGGGCTCTCGAGCTGACGGCAGCGACTTCGACTCATTTCCAACTCTTTCAGTCTCAGAGTTCCGGAAAAGAGAGAACAACGCCTGAGTTCAGAAAGATACCAGAACTGAAAGATTTGATCATTTCACGTAGTAGTTTTACAAGGGCGAAAAAGAAATTTACAGAAAAGCAAGATGCACGTTTAGATTTGTTACTCAGCTGTGTTGCTCACTATATATGCCTGCTGCTTTTTAAGCTTTTTGACGATCTCGTTGCCGAGGTCGTCGTAGTTTCACAATAAGGACCTTAAGATCCGAGGACGGCGACAGCAGAGTAAAAGTCGCTGAAAAAGTGAATTCGCGTTCTTTCAATCTTCATCGCGATTACTTCAAGTCACTAACTTTGTCAAATGTAGGCGAACCCTCCTAAAGTTGAATTCCTAAGAATCATATCCAAGTTGAGAAAGAGAGAGGAAATTTCGTCGTCGCTCGTGTACTTCCTCTCTACATCGTCAAATTAGGCATTTTCACGTCGTAGTCTTGCAGTAACGGCAAAGAAATGTACAAAAAAGCGTGATGCACGTGCGAAATTGTTGTTTGCTAATTAAAACTCTTGCTTTTGTGGCGTCCCCGTTGCCGTCGCCGTCGTCGGATCTTAAGGTCCCTAATCGGTTGTGTGAGACTGGGTCGGTGTTATGTTGCATTGAACAAAGGGACTGTTTTGGGGACCAGACGAAAGGAGTAAAGACTCGCCAGAAGTAAAGACGAACAAAGCATTAACTGATAACTTCTTTATAGCAATTTTGATTCCAGAGGTGACGGAATCCATCAGGAAATTGAGTAATTTTAATTTTCAGTGAACAAAAACCTTGTATTAGAATAATTTAAACAATATTGTTTTCTTTTTTACATTTTTCAAGGGCTATAGATATAATTAGTTACCTGCAATAACACCAAAGACTATTTTTCATGGGATCCCGAGGAAATAAGTGTCACACAAGAATTGTGAAAACACGGGTAAAATTCTGAAATTTTCATGTGTAAGGTGTCACTTTATGAAACTTGACATTTATTTTCTCGAGCTCTGATGACAAATTTTCTTGGGTGTTACTACAGATGACTAATTATAGCTATAGCCCTTGTAAAATGTTAAAAAGAATGCGATATTATTTAAAAATATTCTGGTACAAGGTTTTTGCCCAATTTTAATTAAAAGTTACTCAATTTCATGATGGATTCCGTCTTAATAATTCCCATTTCCTTCGCAAGTATCTGCCACGGGCCTTTTACGTGGAAGTCGCCCGGGGCTCCAACTGCCCTTCCCTCTGACTCCGTCCTAATGGGGTCCGTATAAGGAAGTTGGGCTTGGTGGAAAATTCTTGTAACTCCACTGGTCTTCTCAGAAGCAAGCAAATTTTATAACACTAATCATCTATCAAGATTCCATCTCAGTGTTTCAAGGGTTTATTGTCATTTTTTGTTATTTTTCGCTTTTCGACAAATCCTCACACCATAGTGATACCGTAATGATCTAATAGACCCCCACTCTCAAATAAACGCCACTTGTCTAATGAACGCCCCCTCTACAATGTTAGGTTGTTAATCAGACGCCCCTCTCTAATAAACGCCCCCTGTCTAATAGACACCCCTATGACAATTACTCCAAAATAGCACTAAAGGAATTAGCAAAAAGGAGCGCGAAATCATTTCATTTATTCAGTTTCTTGCTTGATTAAGAAGGGTTCACGTTCCCCACTAGTTTCTCTATGTTCACAACTCTAGTTAATATCTTTGACGTGGAAAGATCTTGCTTATGGACACTAGTGATGACCTGTCGTCGACACAGGTGGAAGTGACTGTGCTTACCACATCCCCCTTTTTTCACTTTTTTTTCAGGGGTAAAATGAATTATTTGACATCAAGGCGGTGCCTTGCGTGGGTCTAGGGTACTTTTTGAACTTGCCCTTTTGAGGATCCACAATTGTTTTTTAATTATTCTTGTTACTCTTGTCTTGAGTCATATTTCACGATTGAAGTATAAAGTTTCTTGTTCACTGTCAAGTTCAAAGTAATAAAAACGACAACTTTAATAGACGAACGATGGCAACACAATGACCCTTGGACTTTCAAAAAAGTCCGTCGTCCGATTTTATATGACGCGGGACGACGAAGGACGACCTCTCGCGACTTCGTCGTTTCCTTGGCCTTTTCGCGGCCTAAAAAGCTCGCTGCGTTCGCTAAGAAACTCGGGAGGTCGACTTGTAGCAAGTCTAAATAACCCTGAGCGAGTATTCTAAAAAGCGATGCGGATCTCTACACATCTTTGTTGCGCTTGTTGTAGTTATGAGAATAAACGCCTCTCCCTTTTAAATGTGTCCTATCTATTAAACGCCCCCTCTTAAATCCCTAAACACCCTTGGCGTCTGGTCACCCCAAGAACAATGAGATAGGATGCGTGCATGATCCGGGTTAACAGAGATATATTAGGTGCCCCATACACCACGTATCTACACATATGGAGCACGCGCATTTGCAGCATCCGCCATCTTGGGTATATTCCTCGTAGTTTCGCTTTAAAACATGATCAACAGCCTTTTCGTCATAAATAATGTTGGGTAGGTATCGTTTGAAACTTGAAATTAAATGGTCCATTGACCTCTCCAAGCTCTAGCCCATCGCTGCATTAATTTTAAGTAACTTTTTATTAAATTGTAACCTTACGTTTTTGTCATCTCATAGGGACATTTTCGTTGAAAAACATTGGAAAAGTGTGATTGGTCGGTCTGTTTGTGATCATTTTTTTGAAGCTTTGTCCAAGGTAAGGTATATCTTTTGTTTTACATATTATTTTCTGTCCAATTTATAGCCATGCACTTTATAATGTTATTTTATTTTTACCTGTGTAGTTGTAAAATTAAACTGAAGCTTACTTGCATGTCAGTGGACTCAGGTCCTGCAGGTTTTAGCCTGTAGTATTAATTTCTTGTATTTTTTTCTGTTATTATATTCATTTTTTATTGTCCTGTAGTGATTTTGTTGCAAATAGTTACGGTGAATCATGAGTCTCTGTCCATAACCATAAGGAGGTGGCCATGGTCCTGTCAGTGTTGACTATTGTATGAATGATTATCCTTGTTGCTGTTGCAGTTTCAACCGATCATTATGTCGCATGTTGCCATTATGGCCCTCTTTCAAGGCCGCATTTGCTTGTCAGAATTTTACCCTAAAAGGCACGGTTGTTCAAATGATGAACAGTTCTATCCATTGGATAAATCACTCTTCAGCAGATAAGTATTAGGGAGACCAATAATTGCATTATCTGCTGGATAGAGATTTATCCAGTGGATAGCATTATCCAACATTTGATCAACTGGAGCCAGGGTCTTAGCAGTTGTTTGCAAATTTAATCCTTTCTGCTCTGCATTTTTTCGTCAGAGCTGATATAATTATTGTAGACATATGTTTTTTGCTAGGCAAATTCACCAGAAGATGTGCCACCAGTAATTGCTGCTCCTCATCATTACCTCATAAGTATCTACAGAAATGAGCTGTTCTTCCTAGCAGTTGTACAGACAGAAGGTACTAGTTTAAAAATAGTTTTAACAGGGCTGTTTTTAAGATTTAAAGCTGAAGGTTGTGTGAAATTAGTAGGCAGGGAATTGAACAGCTAGGAAGTTCTTTTAGTTCTGTTTTCTTTTCTCTCCCTATGAAAGTAGCCAAGGGTTATGCAAATAGTGTGTAGGCAGGCCCTTCCTCTATATAGTTCCCGATCTAAGGTGCTCCTCTTGGCAGCTGTATAAGGGCCGCCTTCCTCCACTCTATCCAGCATTCCCGCTCGAGACCTTCCAGGTGGTCTCTGTCCTATCAATCTCCCGTCAATAACTAAAGATACCGTAACTTTTATTTTCAGTGGAAAAAAACCTTGTACCAGAATAATTTAGAGAATATTTCATTTTTTTTTACAGTTTTCAGGGGCTAAAGATGTAATTAGTCATCTGTAATAACACCAAAGAAAACGTCTTATGGGAGCCCGAGAAAGTGAATGTCAAATTTCACAAGGATTGTGAAAACATGGGTAAAATTCTGAAAATTTCATATGTAAGATGCAATTTTGTGAAATTTGTCATTCATTTTCTCAGGCTCCCGTTAGAAATTTTCTTTGGTGTTATTACAGATGACTAAATTACAGCTTTAGCCCTTGAAAAAATGTAAAAAAGAATGCAATATGCTTTAAATTTTTTTGGTACAAGGTTTTTGTCCACTGAAAATTAAAATTACTCACTTTCCTAGTGGATTCTGTCTTTATGTTTTGGATAGGTGGTCGCTTTTTGGAGGTGATCACTTATGAGAGGTAGTCGTCGCACATGGAGGTTCGACTGTGTGTACAGGCTGAACGCTTTGCTATAAATTTTGTTTTATAACATGATCTAAAGAGAAAAGTGTTTAAATTTGTTACCAGACAGTGAGGGGAATGACTTGGTTATTGTCACCTGACCAATCAGAGTTTGCAGTTTACTTTTGTTATGCTGTAATACTGTAATTATATGGTACTCTGGACATCATTGGCACTCTTTTCAAACCATCAAAGAAATTGGCACATAGCTTAAAGGAGCGTGTATATCGATGCTTAAAAAAAGTAACATTTATTGTAAAAAAATCTTCTAAATACAATGGAGGGGATTGTAGCCAACATTTAGGGTCTGTAATCCGCATTAGCTCTGTAGATTAGTTCATACATGTATCACATGTAATTATTTCATACCCAGGGTGTGGTTTGAATCCCTTCCTAACATCCTTTCTTTGTTTGTTTGTTTTTTTTTTTTTCAGTGCCCCCTCTCTTTGTTATTGAGTTTTTGCATAGAGTTGTGGACACTTTTACAGAATACTTTAGCAGTTGCACTGAGACATCTATCAAAGATAATGTTGTCATTGTATTTGAGGTAAGAAAAAAGGGCAAAGAATCATGTCAATATTATAATTATTATGAGTGCTGATGCTATAGGTCAAATATGTATTTGGTTAAATTAGTATTCCTACTCATGAAAAAAATAATAGTGAAAATAAAAAATAATTACCAATG